AGGGAGAAGCAGGCTTCCCGCTGAGCAGGGAGCTCGATGTGGGGCTCGATCCCAGGACCCTGGGATCATGACCTGAGCCGAAGGCAGACGCTTAACTGACTGAGCCAGCCAGGCGCCCCACCAAGGATGATTTAGAAGCCGTTAGAATCTTTATTTCTATCTGGGCAGAGTCAAAAGCAAAGACAGAACAAGGTTAAGGGCTGTTTTGACTACTTTGGCAGCTTCTTGTGTCAGCAGCATGATGAACTGATTTTCTTTAGAGGAGGGAAGATGTTAGATGCCAGAAACATTCCCTCCCCCTCTCATTTGACTCCTAGGGAAGTGGTTCCATTTGTGTCTCAGCTGGAAGTCTGCCAACTCTCAGGTTGGTTCAGAGGGATAAGTAAGGGTCTGGTCTCACAGTGGCTCTCTCCGGCCTTGGTGTAAGAGAGAAGGTCCGTCCACAGAGCCCGGGCTATAAAAACAAGACTTAGACCAAGTCTGAATAATATGTGAGACCGACCCATTTGGAACTGTCATGTTGCTGTTGTTAAGTTTTGAGTTGGAATAATCTGAGCACTTTCTAATGAGTTAGGCTAAGCAAGGGCAACCCACTTTATTTTTAAAGAAAACCTGTTTATAAATATATTTGAAATTCTAGTTACAGTCATTTAATGGAATGTTTAAAAAGAACACCTAGGGACGCCTGGGTGGCTCAGTCGCTTAAGCATCCAGCTCTTGATTTCAGCTCAGGTCATGATCTCAGGGTCATGGGATCGAGCTCTGGGCTCTGTGCTCAGCGGGGTGTCGGCTTCTCTCCTTCTCCCTCTCCCTCTGCTCCTCCCCATGTGCTAATCTCTCTCTCTCTCCCCCCCACTCCCTGTCTCTAACTTAAATAAGTAAATCTTTAAAAAAATAAATAAAAAATAAAAACTCTTGTGTCAGGTTAATTTCTGAGATAAGGTGATTTCTTGGTAAAGTGCCACTTAGCATGGACAGTTTTTGCTTCATATTTTAAGGCTTTTTCCACAGCAGGAATCCTCTTCGTCTGTGGCACGTGCACATTTGACATACTTGGGTGTGTTTGATGCTGTGTGGAGCATCAGTGTTGAAATATTTAACTTTCATTGTTCTGAAAAGGTGGACGATGTAACTAGAAGATTTCAAAGTGCCTCTCCCTCTTTGTTCTTCACCTTCCTGTGTCCCACAGTCAAGAAGGTAATGCTGCCGCTGATATTGGGCATCGCTTTGTTTGGCTTGAGGACGTTCAGGCTCTGACTGGAGAAACCTTCAGAACAGATAAGAAACCGGATCCGGCCAACTGGGAGTATAAGTCTCTCTACCGAGGAGACATAGCAAGGTACCCGTCACGATGTCTTTCCTGATTTTCACTGGTGGGACGTAACTTCTTTTTCCCCCGAACCCTCTCTGCGCGGTCTCTGTCTGCCCCCCCCGCACCCCCCCCCCGCCGCCCTTTCTGGATTCTGGTGGGTGTCCTCCATCACTGAGCTGTTGAGGCATGTGTTTTATCTCACACTCTGGAGTGAAAATTCAAACCTTGAAGTCAGGATCCAGGTCTGAAGAGTCTCATTTATCCGTGGTGACTGGCATCGTGCCGGGCGTAGTAGGTTTTTAGTAAATATTTGTTGAATGAATGAATCTAAAAAATACCTTGAAGTAAGTAACTGTGACGAACTATCCAGAAACCATTTGGTCTGATCTGTATGTCATTTTAAAAAGTCACGAAAGCTTTTTATTCATCTATCCCCCAAGTAAGCCATTTTAAAAGTGACATTACGTGGTAATGACTTTTTCAAGATGCTTCCAGCATATGTCACCAGATAAAAAAGAGATGATGGTATTCACTTCAGTAATCAGTTTATTAAACTTTTCTCCTCTACCTTGTCAATCAAAAATATTTAAGTACTTATTAAATCCCTTAGGCACTGAGTAGTTTGTAAGACACTGCTGGGAACACAAAACAGTAATACACAATCTCTCTTCCCAGACAGCTTACAGGTAATGAAAATTGAAGGTAGAGAATATTGGAATGTAAAGCCAAGAGGAGACCATTATCATTCTTTTTTTTTTTTTTAATTTTTTTTTATTCTTATGTTAATCCCCATACATCACATCATTAGTTTTAGATGAAGTGTTCCATGATTCATTGTTTGTGCATAACACCCAGTGCTCCATGCAGAATGTGCCCTCCTCAATACCCACCACCAGGCTAACCCATCCTCCCACCCCCCTCCCCTCTAGAACCCTGACCATTATCATTCTTTATAGGCTAATTACTTTTTAAAATAAATTTCGGTTTCCATTACATTGTTGTGCCTCCATATTTTAATTGTCATTCATCACGACATTATACCTCACCACATAGGCAATTCCAACTAAGATTTCCTTTATGATGTGTTTATATCTGTGATTTTTCAGTGCATATTTATATCTACATGCTGTCTCCTAAAACCTTATGGCTGAGAGTAAATGACTGTCAAAATGTTTTCATACCTTTTTGAATAATTTTTTTTTTAAAGATTTTATTTATTTATTTGAGAGAGAGAATGAGATAGCATGAGAGGGGGGAGGGTCAGAGAGAGAGGCAGACTCCCTGCTGAGCAGGGAGCCCGACGTGGGACTCGATCCCGGGACTCCAGGATCATGACCTGAGCCGAAGGCAGTCGCTTAACCAACTGAGCCACCCAGGCGCCCTCTTTTTGAATAATTTTAATACTCCTTAAAGTCTTGTTCGGTTCCCCATGGCCCCGCGGTGTGGAGCCACAGACGTGGTAGGACCCAGGACAAGATGGGGAGGCCAGCAAACGCTGATTGAGCCCATGGTTGTTAGCCTGTGTGATCCTCACATCTGCTCTGTGAGGGGAACCATACTCTTCTTTTATGAATGAGGAAAAGGAACCTCAGAGAGGGTAAGTAGCCTCTCAAGATCATGCTGCCAGGAAGCAGCTTTCTTGGGGAACCTATGTTCCTCTAACCTCAAGTATTCTTTTCCTGTCCACAAATACAGATGAGCTTGGTTGTGTGGTAGGATGTTTTCTACATTGGGAAACGGAGGACCCTGGTTCTCATTCTCACTTGGCCACTGACTGATAATGTAATCCCACGTGAGTCACTAACCCTGTCTGAGCTTCTGTTTCTTCATTTGTTAACTCCTGCTATGCCGCACACTCAGATATCAGACGTCATCGATAGAAATTAGACATTAGTTTGCACAGATAAAGGGTTATTACTTATTAATAGATGAAAAAGGAAAAATATTCACAATGACTGGCTCTTAAATCTCTGCTAATGAGAGGCCCAGACCTTAGGAGGAGAGTAATGAGAGAAGTTTACTAATCTAAATTGTGAAGATGCTATTGGAAGGGCGTGGGGCGTTGGTGTGATTTCCCAGTAGATTCCTGAAGCTTAGGTGAGCTAAGTCTTACCCGGATTAATAGCTGTAGTGCTGTCACTGTCCAGATCTAGGGAAGTGTTGATCCCATGGCACTGTGAGTTGGTCAGATGACAGGGGCGTGTTTTGTCAGGTCGTGAATTTTCACACTTCACCAGGGGCACTGACAAACCAGGAGTGTTGAGAGGACTCGGCTGGCACCGTCCTGTGCGGACCAGATGAGGCCTTGTGGGTATGGGCCTGGAACAGCAATATGGTCCGAATCTTCTACGCTTCAGTGGACCATCTTTTGGAAGGTAGATTGGCAATGTTCTGTGTAACTCGGGAAGGCAGAACCAGGATCAACGAGTGGAAGGTGCAGAAAGGAGATTTGACTCAGTATCAAAGCAAATTTTCTCATCGTGTGAGCCTCCCAGCAGTGACCTGGTATGCGTTCGTGTATTGTGGTGAGCAGGGCTTAGAGTTCGTGGGTAAGAGTCAAAACTACCTTTGGAAAATTCCTTAGGGCTAATATACTAGCTCTCCGTGAAGTTCAGCTCCATTTTTTCTCCGTTTATGGAGTGGATTGTTTCTTTAACTATACACCAGATGAAATAGTTGGCTGATGTTTAGGAGCCAAGTCTTACAAAATAGTAATAACTTTAACTTATCTAGTGCTTACTATATGGCTAAGGACTTGAAATCTATAAGCTTTTTGATCATCCCTGCTATTCTCTGACATGGGTACTATTATTATCCCCATTTCACAGATGAGGAAACTGAGGTACAGACAGGTTGTGGGGTTTTGTTTTAAATAACTTGTTCAGGGTCACCTAGTTAGTAAATGATGGGGTTGGAATTTGGACCCAGGTAGACTGCCACCATGAGAGCATGTGTGAATTGAAGTCACTGAAGGAAAGGCAAATTTATTATTGCCCAGCTCACTCTGGAGCTTAGAGCTGCTGAGTGGATTCAGGGCAGAAGTGTGTGCTCAATTTAAATATATTCTTTTCCCATACCCTATCCCTCTTTCTTTTCTTTCCACCTTTCCCATCCCTTCCCTTTTCCTGTAGCTAAATTCATGTAAATTAAATGTCCATATGGTGTCATTCACTGAACCTCCAAAGTGGGGTTCCCTCCTTCTGAAATTATTCAGGTAAGACCAGCTGACTATTTGATAAAGATTTTACAGAAAAAAATGCCTTCATGTGGGGGAATATTGCATTAAATTACATCCTAGGTTCTATGATTAAGGTTATGTAATAAATGATAAATTAGATAAAACCCAAATGTCCAATTAAGGTTCTATGATAGATGATAAATTAGATAAAACTCAAATGTCCAACAATAGAGAAATGTTAACTAGATGAGGGTTTACCCCTCCAATGGATTGATTCAAAACCAATAAAAATGGTATTTTCTAAAAAGAATGGTATGGGGAAATGCACAGAGGTAGGGAGAAAAGCCTGGAGCTGTATATCAACTATTTTTAAAAAGAGGTGTGTGTACACATATAAACACATGTACACACATATCTGAAAGTAGGCATTTAATAATACAGATCAGTAAGACTCTTTTTTCTCCTTTATCGTTTTCATCTGTTATAAAATGCAGCTATTAAAATCAGCTTTAGAAAATGCATTTGTAAAGTCAGAAAACTGTAAACATTTTTAAGAGATTATGTGAATGTTAAAATACTGTTGATTTTTAGCAAAAATAAAATAAAAATAAAATAGTAATTAAGGGGAGAACAAAACGAGTTCTACTTACAGTTTGTTCCTGACAGAACGATGGGTGTGTTTAGAACTCTTGAAGCACTATTTTATCTCCTCACCCCTCGTTACAGTTTGTTTTGACTCCTAAAGGTACCGGAGACAGTTTGTTGTGAGTTAACCTAGGAGGGCCTGGGGGAGAGGATGGAGAGGAAGGGTTTGTGTGCATGTGAGAGCTGGGAGGGCGGTTTCTCAGGCACCTGTTGACTGTGGGGAAGCCACGGAGGTGCTGGGCCTGGACCAGGTGGAGGTGGACACAGAACTTTCTGGAAGATGACAGAAGATGGTGGCTGCTCTCTCCTTTTTTTTCCCCAACAGCATGATATTATGGAAATTTTAAAAATACAGCATCATTTGGATTTTTTTTTTTTTTTTAAATTTGAGAGAGAGAGAGAGCACATGAGAGGGGGGAGGGTCAGAGGGAGAAGCAGACCCCCTGCTGAGCAAGGAGCCCGATGTGGGACTCGATCCTGGGACTCCAGGATCATGACCTGAGCCGAAGGCAGTCGCTTAACCAACTGAGCCACCCAGGCGCCCAATACAGCATCATTTGAAAGAATTTTACAGTGAACGCTCCTATTCCCACCCTCTGTGTTCTACCATTAATATTTTACTGTGCCCGCCTTATCACATATCTGTCTGTCCTTCAGCCCATCTTATTATTTTGGTGCCAGCCTCCATGTACTGCCCCCTAAATACTTCAGCATGCATGTCATTAACTGCAGTTCAAGATTTGTTTAGTTTTTTCTTCGGACTTAAAATTCACATACAGTGTAACACAAATCTTCAGTTGCTGAGTTTGGACACATGCATACACCTGTATAATCCAGCCCTCTGTGAACATATAGAACATCCCTGTAACCCCTCCTCCCCCCAAATTTCCTCCTGTTCTCTTCCATTCAGTCCACACCCCACCTCCCCAGGGGCAGTTACCGTCCTAATTTTTTTCCATCCTCAATTAGTGTTGTCTCTTCTAGAATTCCATATAAATGGAATCATACAGTACGTACGCTTTTGGGCCTGGCTTCTTTCACTCAGTGTGATGTGTTCGACATCCAGCGCCATTGTGGCGTTTGTCAGGAGTTTGTTCTCACTGCTGGTCGCCTTCCGTTGTGTGGCCATACCGTGGCTTGTTTATCTGTTCTCCTAGTGATGAGCACCTGGGCTCTTCGTGGCATTCGGCTGCTGAGAATATCTGTGCACGCGTCTTTGTGTAGAAAGGCAGTTTCCTTTTTCTTGGGGGAATGCCTAAAATAGAATTGCCGGGTCACAGGGTAAGTCTAACTGCCAGACCTTTCCCCAGAGTGACTCTACCAGTTTCCATTCTCACTAACAGCATGTGAGAGTCCTGGTTCCCAGCGGATAGCTCACTGGCATTCAGTGTCTTCGGTGTTTAATTTTAGCCGTTCTGGTGGTATGTGGCATAGCTCCTTGCGGTTTTAATTTGCACTTCCCTCATGATTAATGATGGTGAGCATTTCTGCATGCACCAGTTGGCCCTTCATGTCGTCTTTTGTGAATTCCGTGCGGATCCTTTGCCCATTCTTTAACTGGTTGCTTGTGTAACACGCCTACAGAAGAGTGCACGGTTTCCCTCAGACTTCATGCACAGATTCAGTAGTCGTGAGTGTTATTCTGGGGCACCTGCACACACCATACAGGCCTTTTGGAACCCAGCCTCTCTCCCTCTACAGTAGAAAACAGCCAAGTGTAATTTTAATTATTTTGTTTCAGGATTAAAAATACAATCTTAACCCTCCCTGTTTTCTTCTTACGTGGGGACACAGGACTATATTGAGGAAAAGGTTCCGGTGGAGGAGACAGATGACTCAGTCACCCACGGTTCTGGTGTCTTTACGAAGAGTGTAAAGGAGGGGATGGGGATTTCCACCTTGTCTGTTACGTAGGATCATGATGATCAGTGACATAATGTATGGGGCAGACTTTACAAAACTCCAGGAAAATAGAAATTACTAGAATCTGGAAGACAGACCTGATCTTAAATTCATGCGATGTTAACAAAGAATGGAAGTGTTTAGAGGAATAAGTTCCACACAGAAAAAGTTGATTGCTAATTGTCGTATTTCTCTAAATAGAAACTGTTGGAAGGTAAGGTGAAGTTAGCTTGCTTCACAAGAGCTCAGCCCGCTGAGCCGAGCCTCCACTGGTGCAGAGCTATGCACCTGTTCCCTCAGTAACTCTCTTCCTTTTTCTAATACAAGATACAAGAGGAAAGGAGACTCCTGCCTTGGCATTAACCCTAAGAAGCAGTGTATATCCTGGGAGAGGGCTGCCGCAGAAAAGAAGCCTTCACACAAGCGTGTTGAGCGCTATTTCACGAAGAAGAGCGTGGGCTTAATGAACATTGACGGAGTTGCCGTTGGCAGTAAAACCGAACCTCCCTCATCTGAGCCGATCTCGTTTATCCCCGTGAAGGGCTCGGATGATGTGGTTCCTCCCGTTACGACCTGGTTGAACCCTCTGGGGATTTACGATCCGTCCACCACGCAGTGGTTACAAGGACAGGGCCCTCCAGAGCAAGAATCAAAGCAGCCAGACTCCCAGACAGACAGAGAGCGCGCGCTGCTCAAGGCCAAGGTGGAGGAGTTCAACAGGAGAGTGCGGGAGAACCCTCACGATATTCAGCTGTGGATGGCGTTCGTTGCTTTTCAGGTAAGGAGCGCCGTCCCGCTTCTCCTACTTAGACTGTTAGTCTGGGGCAAACCAGTGCGCTCCGCAGCCGTTTCTGAGCCCCTGGGAGGAACCCGGGCCCCTGGCGCTGGAAGTTTATTACCCTGGAGCCCTTGCCCTGAGCTTGCTTCCAGCCCGTGAGGAACCCCACGTGTGGAGAGTCAGGGCTTTCAAGTGGAATTCGGGGGTGGGAGGCGGCAGGGGAGCATGAAAGGGCTCCTAAAAGGTGAAATTTAAACAATCTGGGAAGAAGCGCCCTTGTTCACCCGGCGTTGGGGGGGGAGTGCAGGGTGCAGAATGCGCAGAATTGGGGAAGAGAAGGCGCTGCTCCGACGACGACCCAGCTGGGGCTCTGGCTGCGTCCTGCTTGCTTGTTTTTGAGCCGCTCGTACAGGTGTATTTTGCCGCACACCTGCCTGTGTCGTGGGTAAAGTGGGCTCTTGAGAAGCAGCGCTCAGGGCGCTGCGTGCTCGCCCCCGTTACGTAACTCCCGAAACTCCCGTGCCGGAGCGCAGACGGCGGGGTGAGGGAAACGCGAGCAAACAGGCGCCCGAGGAACGGAGCTCCACCCAGAAAAAGCGGTGACTAGCAAGCCCAGGAGGTCCGAAGGGCGGCTGGTCCTGGGAGGCGCCGGAGGGCGGGCCTTGCAAGGAGCTCTGGGGCGGTGGCGGGCTTTTGAGGCTCCCGGACTTGCGGTTGTGAATTGACGTTTTTGTCTTGAGGACGAGGTCGTGCGGAGCCCCGGCCTGTATGCCCTGGAGGCAGGGGAGCAGGAGAAGCGGAAGAGGTCTGCGAAGCTGGTGCTGGAGAAGCAGCTGGCTGTCCTGGAGCGGGCCATCGAGAGCAACCAGAGCTCCGTGGAGCTGCAGCTGGCCCGGCTGAAGCTGTGCGCCGAGTTCTGGGAGCCCTCGGCGCTGCTCAGGGAGTGGCAGAAACTGATCTTTGTACACCCCAACAGTACGGCCCTCTGGCAGAAGTACCTTTTATTTTGCCAAAGCCAGTTCAGCACCTTCACCGTGTCGAAGATCCACGGTCTTTACGGCAAATGCTTGAGCACTCTGTCCGCGGTGCAGGACGGCAGCATCCTGTCGCACCCCGCCCTGCCCGGCACCGAGGAGGCCGTGTTCGGTAAGAGGCCGAGCACCAGGTCCCTGCGTGTCGGGGGACTTACGCTTTCTTCTGGCGCTAGGCAGAAATGAAGGCGTGTTTCTGGTTTATTTTAGAAACGGCCAAATTGATACGACGGATTTAAACAAAGTATTAGGACCCCTTTGGACTAGACCAGATTCTCGTTTCTCCACCTTCTTGGTGGGGGTGTGGAGCGGGCATCAGAGCCGGTGAAGTTAGCAGAGTATCCCCGGCCCAGAAGTCCCAGCTTTTCTGCTTATTAGCCAAGGAAACACAGTCAAGTCTTGGCTGTTGTGGCTGTCCGTGGCCTTCCCTGTCCAGGTGTCTGTCTGCTCCTCTCACCCGTCCTGGGATCTCAGGCGGTGGTGGTCGTGGGGATCAGCACACAGAGGCAGTTATCGGTATTATTATACTGTTCATGTTCTGTGTCCCGAAGGAGCTAGAATATGAACTCTGTCCGGTAATGAGGTACAGAAGGCAGCATGTCACACAGGAGCTGGAGAATATCACTCTGGACTTGAAGCCTGGATTTGCCCTTCACTGGTTCTCTTGTGACCTTGCATATTTCCTTAACCTGCTTGAGCTGCAGTTTCTCGCTCAGCAGCAATGATACAATACTTGCTTTATAGGGTCATCGAGCACGTTAACGGAGATTGACCCCTGGTGAGTCTGGCTCCGTGTCCGGCACACAGCAGGTGTTTATTTGATCAAAACCTTGCTATTTCTTTTCTTTCTTTCTTTTTTTTTAAGATTTTATTTATTTGGAGAGAGAGAGAAAGAGGGAGAGCGTGAGCAGGGGGAGGGTCAGAGGGAGAAGCAGGCTGTCCGCTGAGCCCGATCCGGGGCTCAATCCCAGGACCCTGGGATCATGACCTGAGCCGAAGGCAGATGCTTAACCGACTGAGCCACCCAGGCGACCCTGTATTTAACTTTTAGATTAGATTCTAATTCATTCATATTTATATTTATATTCTAAAGATATAAATATATTGCTCTAGAATTAATAGGCATTTACAACACTGGCATAAAGAGTCTCGTATTTGATATCATTTGTGGTATGCGCAAATAGCCTAGTGTTACTCAGAACATGAAACTACCACAATTCAGACAAACCGAAATTTTCATAGATGGAACCTTGATTTGTTTGCAGTGGTCTCTGAACAAATGATGAAGATGGATCGCCATCTAGTGATCCATCGAGCACAGATCTTTGCTTTCTGATGAAAATCTATACCATCCTTCTAGAATTTTTCTTGTAATAATGAGCTTTGAGTATCTGGTAACTATTCAGAACAACCTCTTGCCTTACTTTTTTTTAAGATTTTATTTATTTAAGAGAGAGCATGAGAGGGGGGAAGGATCAGAGGGAGAAGCAGACTCCCCGCTGAGCACGGAGCCCGATGTGGGACTTGATCCTGGGACTCCAGGATCATGACCTGAGCCAAAGGCAGTCACCTAATCGACTGAGCTACCCAGGCGCCCCGTTCTCTTGCCTTACTTTTATGCAGCATATATAGTTTTTGTTAATATTTGTATTCCACAGTGGTTTCATATAAAAATTGGAATAAATGTACTTTGATTACAGTTCTGTGGTGAGTCCTTTTAATGAGGACATGTAATTAGTACAGCTTTTGAGAAGATCACAGGAACTAATTTCGGAGAAAAGATGTTCTCGGTGTTGAAACGCATGTTGTTAGAAGTTGTGTTCTTTCCCTTGAATTGATGTTAACCAGGATTCTCCCTCCTGCTCTCCCTGCTTTCAGCTCTCTTTCTTCAGCACTGTCACTTCCTGCGGCAGGCCGGTCACTCGGAGAAGGCGATCTCGCTCTTCCAGGCCATGGTGGACTTCACCTTCTTCAAGCCAGACAGCGTGAAAGACCTGCCTACCAAAGGACAGGTGCGGGTTTAGTTGTGAGACCGGCCTCTCCCCTCCCTCTCTCCCCTCTCCTTCTCTTCCCGTCCCTCTCTCCCCACCCCTCTTTCCCCCTCCCTTTCTCCTTCTCTGTCTTCTGGGGGCAAGTGTGGATAATGGGAAGCGGTGGTAGTATTTTTAAAATCCTATCCTCTTTGTATCAGTCCTGCTGAGAACTGTTGCTCAGAATATGCTGGTGATCCAAGGAAAATTCCATAATGAAGGTAGTGAAACTTGGAGAGATGAAAGATCTACTCCCCCCAATATGAAGACTCAACTATGTCCCCCCCCTTTCTTTTCTTATTTATGGGACTTGTTTCAGTGCTAATTGTCCCCGCCAGGCAGAGAAACAGGGGTCATGCCTCTTAGAGCACGTCTCACTGTCTCCTCCCTCTGTGCATTCTAAGCTGGGTCTTAGGTTGTTCCAGTTCGCATTTCCACTACGTGAGATCTTTGCGGGAATTGCAAACGATAGCGCATGTTGGCACTTTCTCAACACTGATCCTAATTGGGGAGGTGTCATTTAGATGACAAGTGAACATTGGCCGTATTTGTGATGTCAAGCAATAAAAAAAAAATCTCATCATAGAGCTACCCATATAAGAAAGCCGCCTTCACCATTTTTCCTTAGAAGAAATCTCCATTTCCGACTTTGCAAAGGGGGTCTGGTGGAAGATGGATAGGATATCTGAATTTATAGTGAACTGACAGAGGTCTCGGGAGGCTAAGATCTCCATCTTGTGGAATGTTCCTGAATTGCCTTTAAAGACTTTTTTTCATCATTATTTTTATCTATTTTTTTCCTAGGCAAAATTGGGTTAACGAATATTGGTTAATATTAGTTACCTGATTAGTAGTATCATAAGCCAGATAAAATTATTTTAAGATCTGGTGTGCTGTTTTAAGAATATGCCATGCTACGAAAGTGAATCTTGGTGGACTGCGTGGCCCTGGGTGTGTGGTTGCGGGGTCAGGGTCAGAATGGCCCTCATCCCCGCCCTTTGCTGACGATCACAGACCGTGATGAGAGCAGTTCCTCTCGGGGAGGGCAGTGCCCGGGACTGTGAAGCATGAGGAGCCACTCCCCTCAAGTGTCACCAGAGCCCGCTGTGTGCTCTTGAGGTTTTCAATACTAACAGCACACGTAGTTTCAAAGCATTTACAAGACAATTTTGAAATAAAGTTTTATCTTTCAGGATATTCCATATCTTTAAAACTGAGAGACATTGTTATAAGACACAGTAGTATAGCATGAAAGAAGCAGAGTCTGGTCTGTGCTTTTTTTTTTTTTAAGATTTCATTTATTTGACAGAGCTCATGAGAAGGGGGAGTGGCAGAGGGAGAAGCAGGCTCCCTGCTCAATCCCAGGATCCTGGGATCATGACCTGAGCCAGAGGCAGACGCATAACCAGCTGAGCCACCCAGGCGCCCCTTGGTCTGTGTTTCTGTGGAATATAAATAAATTGGTGTAACTTTCACACTTTAAAAAAACCACACTTCTTTTTCTTGAGTGCGCTTTCTTCTATCCCTCTTGTAAGAGCAAGACTGCGAAGAGGGAGTGTGGTCTTTCCAGCTCCCCTACCTGAGGTGGCTGCTGGGCACTCGGTACAGGGCCCATGTCCAGACCACTGCCCTGCTCTGCCCTGCCCTCCCAGGGCTCTCCTGCACGTGGCCCTCTTGCAGGCGTGCGTGGCACCGCCCTGGGCTCAGGCTGGACTGTCCTGCGCCTCCTGGTCCACAGCTTGTCCCTGGAAGCCTCGTCCTCTTCTGAAGGTTTCTTACAAAAGCTTTCCTTGAGCAAGTGGTTGGCTCACTTTTAAAGTCCTTATTGTTGAGGCGCCTGGGTGGCTCGGTTAAGTGCCTGCCTTCGGCTCAGGTCGTGATCCCAGGGTCCTGGGATCGAGTCCTGTATTGGGCTCCCGCTTCTCCCTCTCCCTCTGCCTGCCGCTCCCCCTGCTTGTGCTCTCTCTCTGTCAAATAAATAAATAAAATATTCTTAAAAAAGAATTAAAAGAGCTAAAAAAAATAAATCCTTATTGTCAGGTGATAACACGATTGCTTTTCTGTTCATTGCTGTGTTCACATCCTCCTCTACAGGGAGTTACTTACTGCACTGAACTGGTCACCACACACAGCAGACCTAATGCCCAAATGCATGAGAGCAGAGGTGTGATCACAGGGCCGGGCTTTAACACACAGACCTTTTTATTCACTGGCTGTGCCAGCAAGTGTTTATTGAGTCCCTACTAGGTATTGGGCACTGTGCCAGATTTTAGGAACACAGAGTTGAGACGTCATGCCCTCAATAATTCCCAGTCCTGTTGAAACTTTGAATCCCTTTCTCTTGGAAGGTCTTGAAAGTGACATGATTTCAGGTATTCAGGGGCCCCGTGGCTTTAGGGGAACGGGCTGTGTCCCTGTCCCCAGTTAGACTGGCCTACCAGGGTCAGAGCTGGGAAAATTCCTCTCCCACCCGGCCGGAGGCCCTTCTCGCTTTCTGTAACAGACTCTCAGAAGTGGTAGCCGGTCACACTTTACTGTGTCTGTCTGTTACAGGTCACTAGGCCCAGCCCACACTCAGGGGTGTGAATGCCACAAGGCAGTGGTAGGGTCACGGGGGGCTATCTTGGAGGCCGCCTACCACACTAGCTCATTATTTTTTCTGTTTTGGGGTGTATCCTGTATCTGCTGGAAAGACTGATGGCAAACAAGATTTCAACCACAAGCCCCTCTTATGCCGATTAGAGGGCACTTTGCTCAGTGACTCAGCAGTTTTGTACAAGTTAGGCTCACCTCTGTATTTTGAACCTGAACAGGTGGAATTCTTTGAGCCCTTCTGGGACAGTGGGGAGCCCCGGGCTGGGGAGAAGGGCGCCCGAGGCTGGAGAGCCTGGATGCACCAGCAGGAGCGAGGCGGCTGGGTGGTCATCAGTCCAGGTAAGGCACCTCTCTTTAGGATGCGTACGCCTTTGCCTTCTTCTGGAATGTGTTTTCACATCTTTCTGATTATTTGTTTATATGTAGAAGCTCTTTTGTCAGTCTTTAAGAACACTGTAGAAACATCAAAATGTCAGAAATATGTTAAGTGGATGCGTTGGGAGATTATAGAGTCTCTCACCCTTAGAGTCAACCCCGCAACCCTGTGGAGGGTTTGAGTTTCTTTCCAGAGGAAGTTTCATTTTTCCTTTTAAAAGGTTGCTCCTCCCTACGAGTCCTCCCCTCCCACCCTTTTTAGTGTGTCCTTAGGACAGTCTTTCTGTTTTCTTGGCAATGTACAGACCATCAGATCCTTTGAAGCATCCCTCCCTGTTAAGAATACTATAAAATAATTATTAATTAGCATTTATGTAACTGTCATTCTAAATGACCCCAAAGTATTTTCTGGATTTACAGCCTAAGACAGCGCTGTCCAATAGAAACATAATTCAAGCCACAAAAGTAACTTCATATTTTCTAGTCGCCACATTAAAAAAGTAAGATGATGAAAGTAACATTGATGATATATTTTGTGTGACCCAGTGTGTCAAAACCTTAATATTTCAATGTGTAACTCTTAAAAAAATTGAGATATTTTGCATCTTATTTTTCTCACAAACTCTTTGAAATCTGGGGTGTATTTTACACTTCACAGCACGTTTCACTTCAGACTAGCCGCTTTCAAGTGCCCCGTAGCCACATGGGCGTGGCTGCCATCTCGGTCAGCACAGCTCCCAGCTCCTCAGGGATTGCTTCTCCCCCTGGTTTTGTTGAAAGTGTGAGGGGGAGAGAGGCCCAGGCTTGGCTAGCCTCTTCTCAAAGATGTGTCACATTCCTGGGCCTTGGTTTCTTCAGGGAATGAAAACTATGGATTAGCTCCCATCTCTGTGGTGTCGCGGCGCTCCAGGCTAGGTGGTGTCTCTGGCCCTTTGGGTGTTGGGAGTACTTTTTCTCTGGGCAGCGCCAGCAGGGATGCTCACTCCTCAGTTGGCTCGGCTATTGTGACTTTCTTGGAGTGTTCTCTCCCAGAAAGAACTGGAATCATTCTCAGGCTAACCAGTGGTTTCGTATATGAAGAGAAATAACTTGCAAGGCAGAGTGGGGAGTAGGTATTACCCTTTTAGCCACTGAATCTGCAAGACCACACGAAGAACCAAAAAATGAAGTGTTTTTTCTTTTTTTTTTTAAGAGAGAGTATGAGCTGGCGGGGGGGCGGGGAGGGAGGGCCAGAGGGAGAGAATCTCAAGCAGATTCCATGTTGAGCATAGAGCCCGATGCGGAGCTCAGTCCCACAAACCTGAGATCACAACCCGAGCTGAAATCAAGAGTCAGACATTCAACCAACCGAGCCACCCAGACGCCCCCAGAAGTCTTTTTAGTAGTGACTTTTCTTTGAGTACCAAATCAGGGTGGTTCTCTCTTTTTAGGGATTTTTGTTTGTTTGCTTTAATGAGCAAGACTCCTAGAGTGCATAGAATTTATGTTCTAAAGTTCATCATGTTCTGCATTTCTATGAGACTAAAGCAGAATTCTCACAGCAGTGTCCCGGGGATGCCGTTGCCAGAAACTAGTTGATAACTACTGTGTTTTTTTTTTTTATTTTTAAGTTTTCTTGTCCCATCTCGATAAGGTTGGTATTTAGAGAGTAGTTGGTATTTATCATTGATACTGAGGTGTTTCTTCTTCATATATTACTACTTACTTCTCTCTCACCCTCACTTTCTGTTGGTCTGTATTGTTATATATTTATATGTGTCTTCCCAAAACCACGTCGTCTTTTGAATTTCTAATGTAATAAATTCAGATGTCTAAGCTGGATGTGTGACTCACGGGGGAAATTTATAAGAAACTGCCCACCTGTTTTATGGGGTAGCCGTACCATTTTATATACCCTGTTTGTTTATTTTTAAATATTGAACTTTACAGAAGACTCAAGACTTTTCTCCTCTTCCCTTCTGCATGTTCAGAGTTAGGAAACAAAGTGAAAGTACAGGATATCGTGAATTGACTTTTTTTGAGAAGTGAACACAGGTTGTGATCATATGGCCACTGGTGAAAATCCTGATGGCTTTAGGAAACCTAAGCCAGTACTGTTACTAAGTGTCATTTAGCGTTCTGGAACTGGAACTGTGTTGTCCAGTACCGTAGGCATTAGCCACATGTGGCCATTTTGATTAAATTAAGATGAAACGAAGTAAAAAATGGAGTTCTGCTGCCGGCTACATTTCAGGTGCCCACTGAGTCACATGGGGCTGGTTGTACCATGTTACGCAGAAGGTATATGTTATGTCATCATCGTAGAAGGTTCTGTTGGACAGTGCTGTTCTAGAATATGTGTGTTCCCATTTTAATTGCTATGATACCATTAAAAATCATCTGATTCCACTGGCTAACGTGCCAGGGTTCTTTGGGAACCTGACTGGTGATAGGAGAGTCCCTCAATGCCTCCAAGTCCCTGGACGTTCCAGAAGGCCGGGCCTGGCTCTTACCTGTCTGGCCCTCCAGAGGCCCACCACAGAAGCTGGTGTCGCAGACTGGTTGGGCATCCGTGGTGGGTTTATTTGCTGATGAGGTGAGCTAAAAGTTTTGCTCTCGTCTAGATGATGATGATGACGAGCCAGAAGACGAGGACCAGGAAATAAGAGATAAGAGTCTGCCCAGGTGGCAGATCTGGCTCGCCGCTGAGCGGTCCCGAGACCAGAGACACTGGCAGCCGTGGCGCCCTGATAAGACCAAGAAGCAAACCGAAGAAGACTGTGAGGACCCAGAGAGACAGGCGAGTGTCCCACCCTGGGAGGGAGGCCAGCCACGAGTTCCTCCCCTTCTCCGCACTGCCGCGGGCTTTGCTCACCTGCAGGAAGCTTGCTGAGCGCCCGGGGCACTTGCCTGGCTTGGGACAGGTTAGCCTGCTCCCGTCCCTGTCTCTGGAAGCCTCACCGGCCGCCGCTGCTGTGGGAGCGTGGAGGAACCTGACCGCATAGTTCCCGTCCCACAGTTGGAGGGAAGGCCCCTCCGGAGATGGTCTTCCAGGCACTCAGTTAATTTTTCACACGGAAGCCTGACGCCTCAGGGTTTTCAAGACGTGGTATCCCTGTCCTAGGTTATTTAGCTCTGTCTGTCCGCTCTCCCCGCTGCACGCTGCGTCCTCAGAGACAGGGCTGTTTGACTCTGGAGGACGGGGACTGGATAGTGAGGCCGCGCTGGGACAGTCCGTACACAGCTGGTGTTGCTGGGGAAGCCGCTCACGTTTCTGGAGCCGCTCTTGTGTGCCCCGCACTTGGGTTGTCCCGTTGACTATCCTGGAATGACGTGGCCCGTGCTACACCCTGTCTCGTGGCCAGCAGCTCTGGACGTTCTACGTTAAAATGAAGGAAGAGATTCTATTTGGAGCCTGAAATGGACCCAGTTTCCTAAGACCCCAGCCATACTGCTTGGCATGTGACGCACTCTAGGGACAGACCGGCAGGTGTTTGCGATCGCAAGGCTCCCCAGCTGAGGCCTGGTCGGTTGTCTGCGACCCTCCTTGCGATTTACGTGTCCCGAGGGTGGGGATTTTGCTGGATCACCAGGGCACGGACAGTGCTTTTCTTGTGCTCAGTTAGTGTGCCTGGATGTTGAATGACTGTTCGATGCTGGGTCTTCTGCTCCAGGCACAGGGATCAGCACACGTGCCCGGAATGTTTGAGGAGTAGCGAATGGGGTTAGGACACAGGGAATTGGGGAGCTATGGGTGGGAAGAAGGGGCCGACGCCAGGGAAACCGCCGCTCAGCTCTGGGATGTTTGGTGCGTGGCCTGCCTCGAGGCGAGTCTGCACAGGACGTCCCTTTCCCGGCTGGCGCTGCGTGCGTTGGGAAGAGCAGGGTCTTCGGTATTCGAGGGTTTCCCACCATTCAGGGTCACCTCTTCAGAAGCTGGTTCTCGAGGCTCAGGGTTCCGGCAGTTTTCTGGAAGCTCGTTTCTGGAGCAAACTTCTGCTGTGAGCAGTTCCTTGTCACTTAGCTTTTTCTCTAATCAGTGCCTGGAGGAGAAAAGCTTTCTGATGAATTGACCATTCTGAGGAGTCTGAGCCCAGGGAGTCCAGTTTTACTGTGCTCACGCTTCGGTTTTCTCTTTGTTGGGAGCCTCGGAGACTAAGCAGGTCGGCAGTGCCCTGAGACAGAGGCCAGTCTCTGTGGCCTTACACTTTAAAGTGACTGCATGAAATCAGCTACGGACATGTACAGTCAGCATCATGTCTTAGAATTGCTCTTACCACGGCCTATGGATGATAGTGTCCTTCCTCCCTTGCTGCTGTTTATCTACCTTTGAGCATATTTTTCATTTCTGAAAGCAATTTTATATGAAGAAACCACCAAATAATAGAATTCTATTTTTTTTTTAAAGATTTACTTATTATTTTTAGAGAAGGAGGGAAGGGTGGAGGGGGAGAGAGAGAATCTCAAGCAGACTGCTGAGCACAGAGCCTGATGCGGGGCTCGGTCTCATAACCTGAGATCAGGACCTGAGCCGAAACCAAGAGTCTGATGCTCTGCCGACTGTGCCACCCAGGTGCCGCCAAATAGTAAGATTGTTATCTTCTATCTTAAACAGTTTTGACGGTTGTAATTTATCAAAGTAACTACAAAAGCAATTGTGTGCTTTCAGAAGGGAATACGATCCTAGATTTTCTGTGAATCCGCTAGGCTCCTTTGGAAGGTTTGGCTTAAGCCCGCGCATGGCCCTCCCTCCTCCTGAGGGTGCTCGGGCAGCGTGAGAATGCCACCAGCTCCCGCCAGCTCTCCAGTACCTGGCGAGGCCTCTAGCTCTTTTGCATCTTGCAGGAAACCTAGCTCTTGTCTGTTCAGAATTTAATTGGAACGGTGTTGAATCGTTAGCACATCCACATAAAAGAAGCCGTGGGGAAAGTCACGAAGCCTTGTCGCTTGTCTGTCGCGGTGAACAAACCGCGCTCCCGAGCGGGCCACCTCACTGTGTCTCCGTTACAGGTGCTGTTTGATGACATTGCGCAGTCTCTGATCCAGCTCTCCAGCCGGGATCTTCAGTTTCAGCTGGTCGCGGCCTTTCTGCAGTTCCTGGGCGTGCCTTCTGGCCTCAGCCCCCTGGCCTCCTGCCTCTACCTGGCCATGGACGAGGACAGCATCTTCGATAACGGGCTTCACGATGAAAAGCCATTGACTTTTCTCGACCTGTCCTTTTCCGGCGTCAGCTGTGTTGGCCGTTCAGACCCACTGGGCTGCCATCGCTGGACCCGCGGGCACAATCGAGAGGGCGAGGAGTTCATCCGTAACATCTTTCACCTTGTGATGTCTCTGTTTTCAGGCCAGGAGAGGTCTCAGCTCTGCTTCTCCTGGCTACGGTACGAGATGGCGAAGGTAACTCCGGCCTCCCCCGCCCTGTGTGGGGGCTTCAGAAACGATTGCGGGGCTCTTGGTGTTCCTCAAGCGCTGGGCTTCGTCACCTCCCTGTTCAGGGACCCCCAAGGCCCCAGCATGTGGCTGCCCCACTGAGGGGCTGGGAGGGCAGGAGGAAAGTGGGGGGCGCGCAGCTCATCAGTGACTGGAGCTGTTTTTTGTGTTCGCTCTTCTGTCAGGTGTCTGAGATTAAAGACGAGCAGTTAGTGTGAAGAACCAAGCTTAAGCAGGGGTTGGGGGATTTCGGGGTTTATTAAAAGATAAAATAAGCTACTTACCCTGCTCTTTGCATCTATCTGTGAGAAATTCCTCTAGGATGGACTCTTCTGCCCTCCGCTGGCCACCAGTTAGTATTGACTATAACGCCCAGAGCTCTGTGCTTGAACTACCCAGATTGCACACACCAGGATGTATTATGAAAATAGTGTGCGAGGAAATTCGGTGGCCCCCGTCTCACTGGAGAAGGCTGCTTGGAGCAGACGAGCCTTGTTTTCCGAGGTTTCCGGTGGAAACCTGGATGCGGTCGTTTGGGGGCGCCAGTGGCCTTGGTTCAATCCTGATTTGTTGTCCAGCTCAGAGAGCCTAAGTGTTTAGCAACCATGTGACGAAGGAAGTGTAGACGCCCGTGTGGCTTTCTGAAGTGCACAGTACAAAGGGATTGCTTGAAAATCACACAGCACTTACTTGGGAGTCCTTTTCTTTTTACTTCCAGGTCGTTTGGTGTCTGCACACTAAAAACAAGAAGAGGTTAAAGTCACAAGGAAAGAACTGCAAAAAACTTGCCAAAAACCTCCTGAAGGAGCCAGAAAACCGCAACAACTTTTGCCTCTGGAAGCAGTACGCACATCTGGAGTGGTTGCTCGGCAACACCGAGGACGCCAGGAAGGTGTTCGACACGGCGCTCAGCCTGGCGGGGGGCGGAGAGCCGCGGGGCTGCGAGCCCTGGGAGCTCGGCCTGCTCTACGCGGGGCTGGAGCTGGAGCTGGAGCTGGAGCTGTCGCCGGCCGCGAGAGGGGCCGCCACGGCCCGAGCTGTCCACATACTGACCAGGCTGACGGAGAATGGTCCCTACGCGCCCTACTCCGGGCCGGTCTCGGCTGTTCACGTTTTGAAGGCCCGGAAGGCTTACGAACACGCGCTGCAGGACTGTCAGGGGCAGAGCTGTGGCGCTGGGCCGCCTCCCGCCGACGCCTCTCACCGCCTCGCCGGCCTGCTCAGGTGCTTCATGCTCTTCCAGTACTTGACCGTGGGGATCGAAGCCGCTGTGCGGATCTACGAGCAGGCGTGTGCGCAGCTGCAGGGCTCCGTCTCCCCGGGCGGCTGTGGGCCGGACGAGCCCAGCTGCGCGCAGAGCCCGGGCCGCGGCCTCGAGGCCGTCACGCTGATGCACACGAGCCTGCTGCGGTTCCACGCGAGGGTCAGCGTGTGCCCCGTGGCTCCTCTGCGGCAGGCGCTCTCGGACGCCTTACGGTGGTACCCCGGCAACCAGGTTCTGTGGCGGGCCTACGTACAGCTTCAGAGTAAGTCCCACACGGCCAGTAAGACCAGAAGGTTCTTCGATGCCATTACCAGGTCTGCCAAACCCTTGGAGCCGTGGTTGTTTGCGATTGAAGCCGAGAAAACGAGGAAGAGGCTGGTGGAAACCGTTCAGAGGTACGCGCGGTTGTGCGTGGGTCCGCAGGGCCCTGCTGTGCTGGCCGCGACCGCGGTGCCCGGCGGAGCAGCCGCGGTAACTGTACCGCGGGCGCAAGCGGGGGCTCCGGGCGGGACTGCGGGTTCAGGCCCCAGCTCTCCCCGGCCCAGCTGCGTGGCCTCGGGCACGTCCCGCCCCCTCGAGACCGCCTCCTGTGAGGGCTGCTCGGCGGGGCCGGGCCGGGAAGTGCTGAGCACAGAGCGCAGACGGAAGGAATGCCTGGCCCCTGGTCTCACTCCCGGTGAGGACGCCATCGCGCGCCCCGTGTCCCCTCGATGCGGTGCGTGTGTCCTCCCAGGAGCGCTTCGGCGGCGGTTCGCTCTGGCCTCGTGTCAGCTGACGCCTCAGAGCCGCCCCTGAAGAGTGTTTCACTTTGTTCTTTATTTCTCCCACTGGGATCTTACTCACGCTACATCCCCTGCATTGAAAGGACTTCCCCTCAGGTAGCATTTGCATTCTGCTCAGCAAAGGGGGGCTTGGTTCTAGAAAGCGGAGACGCAGGGAGGTTGTGTGTGAGTTCTAGGCGGACTCTGGCGAAGAGAACACAGAAGCCTGGGCGCTGCCTTCCTCTGGCCCTGGAGGGGCCCCTCGTGTCTGCAGTCTCGCCCCCAGCGCCGCCAGACCTGGGGCACGGCACCGTCCCTGACACGCTGATCCTGCCGGAGCTGACGTTTGCTGTCGCTAGCGCGTCTTCGGTCTCAGTCACGTGAGCCTTGTCTTGCAGGGTGGATGGCAGAGAGGTCCACGCCACGATTCCCGAGACCGGCTTGACGCATCGGATCGAAGCCCTGTTTGAAAATGCTTTGCGGAGCGACAACGGCAGCCAGTGCCCCTTACTGTGGAGAATGTATTTGAACTTTCTGGTAAGAAAACGTTTCGAGTGTTCGTTTTCCTGCCGAGCCTCTGCTGCTTCCTCACAGGGGAGAACGTGCAGGTGTCTAGTAGCCACGTCCCAGGAAAACTGGCAGGGGCTTACTTTTCCCCCCACACCTTCTCGGCCTCGATGAATCCTTCTGAGAACCCTGGTGGAATCATGTCAGGTCTCTCTGGACTTGGGAGGGGGACGCAGGTTGCATCGCTCCTCAGCGCTTTGGTCGAGTGAAAGGAAGAATCACTGGGCTGTTGGCAGCAGAACTTAATGTGGCTCTCTCGGAGGTGACTTCCTTGAGCCAACAACTTGGAAATGGCCTAAGAGCTTTCATTGGAAAGAGACCTTCATTCTCTGCTCTCTGTTCATAAGAATTCCCAGGTTCTGATTCTGTTCCGTCATTGAAGGTAGGACTCACCGTAGAATGTAGCTTAGACAAGAGGCCCCTCCAGAGCAGCTTTGTTTTCACGTAGAAGTACCCATAGTTAGCAACTGAACATGGGGAGATGCCGTTTGATCGTGTTCATGTGCGTGTGGGGCTGAAAGGCGCTTCTTGGGCCTCGCAGAGTCTGTGAGGGGACTTTGCCTTTGGTTAAGGACCTGGCGTTGAGATGCCTCATTTCCTGGAATACATCTGCCAAGTTGTGTGGTTTTTCAGAAATGTAGTCTCCTGGGCCACTTGAGTGTTTCAGCTGAAGGCTACTAAATCACAGCCAAGTGATCTCTAATGAATATTGTACTTTTTAGAGGCCAGGAGTGACCTTCCTTATCTCTCTGATTATTTCCACTGGATAAATTCTCAAGGCAGTCAAAGTATTTGAACTTTTCCTGTCAGCACATGACAGAGTTGGGTATAAAGAGATGTGGAGAACGTAAGTTACGGGCTAGGAGAGCTTTGGGCCTTCCCCATCTGAGATTTCGGAAGTCATCTTGGTGTGCCTCCCCTGAGCTCTGAGACGCCCGATGGCAGGGGGGACGCCGCATGTCAGGACAGCAGCTTCCTGGCACACCCAGGACAAGGAGGCGCATCCTTGCGGGCAGAAGTTGGCATCAGGATGAACCAACCCAAAAGTCTGTGTGGTTTGTTTTTATGTAAGATTTTATTTATTTGACAGCGAGCACAAGCAGGGAAGTGGCAGGCAGAGGGAGAGGGAGAAGCAGGCTCCCCGCTGAGCAGGGCTCGATCCCAGGACCCTGGGATCACAACCCGAACTGAAGGCAGACGCTTAACCTACTGAGCCACCCAGGCGCCCCAAAAGTTTGTGTGTTTTTTTTAACATTTATTCGTCAGACCCAAAAGCTCAGGTTTTATGTTTTGGCGCCCATGTGTGAAACGGAAACCTTCAGAAATCCAGATGGTGTGTGCACGGCGCATTCGTGGCTGCTGCCTGTTAATCGGGGTGGGGGTGCAGCTTAGGCAGACCGCGGTCCGGAGAACGGGCTTCCCGTTGCATCGCCACTCCTGGGTGGGACCACTCAGCTGGAGGAGCAGGTGAGGTGCTCCCTCAAATTTCCAATGCCGATACCGTGTGAGTCTTTGTAAGCAAGTGAAGGACCTTGAAACGTGAGAAGGGAGGGCTTGCAGACTTGCCAGTTTAACTTCCCCTGTTGTCGGTAGAGATGGTTAGGGCAAAGATGGACTTAGGGTATTTTTACAGAGAATCTTCCTGAGCCACATTTGGTTGGATTGTAGAAAAATTCTCTTTGACTTGGAAGAGAAGATTGAGGCCCTTGAGGAATTTCTGTTTTTCTGGAAAGGGTAGCATTGAACCAAGGACGAGTTTGAGCGCGACTTCTCCTGCAGCTCCTGAGGCATCTGGGTTGGCTCCCGAGGCTTTGATAACCCCGTGAGAAAGTCCACTTAGGGCCAGAATGCAAGGTGAGGAGAGGGCCGGGGGGAGCCGGCTCCGCGGAGGAGAGCTGGTGCTTTGGTTGTGTGTGCGTGTGCGTGTGTGTGCACGCGCGCATGTGTAGATCTACATGCACGGAAGCCTGTTTACGCACTTTTTTCCTGCAAAAGTGGCGGAGGGATTACAGCTGCTTGTTGGCCACGGAGCACGTGGGACAAGGACGGGGTTGGCCAGTGAACACTGCCCACTAATGCTGGAACTCCGCTTGAAACCTCTGCTGCGGGGGTGCTTTCAAGTGCGCCGTTCTCCCTGCACGTAAACACGGTCTGCCAAACCTTGTTCTCTTGTTTTGGCTAATATTGCAGTTCTTTTCTTTTTTTCTCTCTCTTTTTTTTTTAAAGATTATTTATCTGAGAGCGAGCACAAGCAGGGGCAGCAGCAGGCAGAGGGAGAAGCAGGCTTCCCGCTGAGCAGGGAGCCCGACGCGGGGCTCGATCCCAGGACCCCAGGATCATGACCTGAGCCAAAGGCAGACGCTCCAGCGACGGAGCCAGCCGGGCGCCCCGAATTGCAGTGCTTTTCAAGATTGTGAGAGTTCTTTAGTTTGGTCATCCGGCTACACAATCAGGAAAGAAAGGACAGTGTATGAAACGTTAGCTGGTGAAATAGTCTTACGAACGGAAGGAGCCGTGGCCCCTCTGTAGTCCCCGGCTTGTTTTACCCTCCAGCATCATTTCTTCTTCCCCCGTGTTGGCAGCGGGCGGAGGTCAGCCTGCATCGAAAGGCCAGAGCTTAGAAGAGCCGGTGGGAGGGCGAAGAGTCGTTTTCAGTTCACTCTGCTGGTCATGGGGACGTAAGCCTCCTCCCGGGAGCACTCCGGGTGTTGTGGAAACATAGCTTTTTGTTTGGGTTGGGTATCAGTTGGGTCAAGTTCCTTTAAAAAAATTGTATTCACTAACAGCTGCTCAGATTTGTCTACAACCAGATAAGAAAAAATCAAATTTTACCAAAGCCCCTCAGGCGTTTCCCTTTCCCCCCATGCTGCCTCCGCCGGCTGGGGGTGGCCCGCGCCAGCTAGGAGGGTACACAGGGGCCGAAGAGGCGACCCCTCGCTCGCGCACTTGCTGTCGTGGAGGGGCAGCGGCCCCCGCACACAGCCCTCTTGCTCTCCAGGCTCAGGCCTGGGGGGCGGGCCCACAGGGCTTTCCAAGGACTTGTGTCCTCCGGTCGCCGGGGTCCTGTTGGCCGGGTCCCTCCTGGGGTGTGTGTGAGGTTCCCTCCCGGACTAAAGTGGCTTCTTTGTGAGACCCTGGCACCCCTTCACTCTGCAGACCAGTTGGCCTTACGGGGAGAGCGGCCCCTGCGCTCTGCTCTTCCCTGGCTGCGTTCCCTTCGGTTCTATGCTCACCCCGTCCTGACGCTGTGGAGTCGCGCAGCGTGTGGGAGTCGCCCGTCGCTCTTGCCTCAGCCTGGACTTAGGAATGGTACCAGAAGGCACGGATTGTCAGGACGAGGGAACTTAGAGGGTGAGGACGGACGCAGAGAGCCAGGGCAGCTTGTCTTCCCAGGGGAGGCTCTGCTCTCGGGAGAGGCTGATGGTGGCTACTGGGCTGGGTCTCAGAATATGAGATCCCGCAAGGAGACAGCCAAGAGTCAGCACGGCGCTGTCGCCTGGCATTGAGCCCCCCATACCCAGTAGCCTAGGTGTTCTCCAGTGGCTGATGAAGGGAATCGCAGAGAGCAGTGTTCACTGGAGTCTAGCCAACCGATGGACCTGAATTTGCTGGGTTCCAGGGTTATCAGTGAGCCTCACAAATACAGGGCTTGAGAATGGACAGTAGTACAATTTTTCCTTCTTTCAAGAACAAGGAAACTGTGTTCTAAGTTTATGAGAGGATATTGAAGTATTCTGGTGTGTGAAGGAAGGACAGCTCACGCTGTTCCTTGCGTATGAATTCAGAGAGGTCCAGCCTCGGAAGGGCTGGAGGGGAGGGAAGACAGGAATCCCCTGGGCTCTGCGGCTGGCTCAGGGGGTGGCTGTAGCCCGAAGTTAGTCCCTGTTTCTGTGAGAGTTAACCTGAAGGAACTGCAAAGGAAGGGAGGCCATCTTTGGTGGACAGAGCGCCTAAGCCACAGGCTGGAGTCTCTAGATGCATCCCTCAGGTTCTGGGGGTCAGTCTCGTGCCAAATGCCATGTGCTGGCCATCCGGTGGGAAGAGCCAGCGGCCACTAGAAGGCTCTCCATGTGGGAATGGGAGCGTGGAGGAGGTGGGTGGGAGAAAGCCCAGAAACAGACTTGAGCTCCATGAACCTGGCTTGTGCCCACTCAGAGCTGCAGGTGTCTGCCGGCCTGGGGAGCGGCCTGCTGGGCTGTGGTGCCTTCGAGGAGCCGCTGAGCGACAGATCCCTTCTTGGGACCGGGACACGCCCGGGCCGGGGGTGGTGGGGAGGACACGTGCCCTTTCCATGCCCACTGGAAACTGGAGCAGTGTGTCTAGGGCTTGGGACTAAGGACATTGTACTCGGAGAGAGAACATGCTGTCTATCTGCGCGCTCTCGGGCTGAAATTCCTGACCAGAGTCTGTTTTTATTAGTAAGGTTCTGATTCAGTGATGCCGGTTAGCTCATTCCTCTAAGGTCTTAGAAAACGGCAAGCGTTAAAGCAGACATTTTGTGTGTGTAAAGTCATCAGCCTCGTCGCGCACACACGGCCTCGTTCTGGGTGCCGTTCTGACGCAAGGCATGATGGCCCCTGTGAAGCAGGTGGACCAGTCCGAAGTCAGAGAGCCTGGGGGTCCCCTCTGGGTCCATGGGTGCAGGGGAAAAGCCACGCAGCAGTGGCCCCGAGAGCGCCCCCGCCCAGCGGCCTCCGCTGAGCCCCCGCGTGGATCAGGACAGGGTGGGCAGGCTGGATTCTGTGGCCTCAGGCTCTGCTTCAATTAATCCTCTTTGTAATTCTCGCCCCGTCTCTGTCTCAGGTCTCCTTGGGAAACAAAGAAAGGAGCAAAGGCGTGTTCTACAAAGCACTTCAGAATTGTCCTTGGGCAAAGGTAAGTCCCAGAGACCTTGAGATCTGCACAAGCCCAAGGCCCTTCCTGCCTCGGTGCCCGCCCCTCCGTGTCACTGGCGACTGGGCACGTCCCGGACCATTTCATAGGGAACCTGTCCGCTGTGGAGCCTCGGCTGATGGGCGTGTGTCCACTCCCTGCACTGGGGCTGGTGTTTCATGGGGGCCTTGCTGCAGGCAGGGGGTTTCCATCATCTGCCAGAGTTCAGCCCAGGTGCTCACACTGGGGGGGCCTGTGGCCCAAGTCTGCCTTGGCAAGCCCGGTCAGGCGGCGTTCAGAAGTGGGGACTGTCCTGTCCACCAAGTCCTGCCCCACTTTAGAAAGAGAAGGCCTCGTTCGTGTCCCTCTGGAAGCAGGTGCCGGGGCGCTGCCGAGTCCGGACGGCGCCGGGGAGGGCAGGCTGGCTAGCGCAGAACTCCTTGCCCTAGACGCTGTACCTGGATGCCGTGGGCCACTTCCCTGAAGAGATGCAGGAGGTCCTGGACCTGATGACGGAGAAGGAGCTCCGGGTGCGCCTGCCCGTGGAGGAGTTGGAGCTTCTACTCGAGGACTAGAGACCAGGAGGTGTTCAACAGTCCCTGCCTTCCGGGCCTCGTCGCCTGCACCGCTGGGGCCGGGATGTAGCAGACGGGGCACGTGTAGGTGCATGTGTTCCAGGAGCTCTGCTTTCCAAGTCTAGCTTTAATTCTTAGTAATTTGAACCTGGGTCATCAGTTTCTTAGCTCTTGCACATTTTTTGGATGTGCAAATAACACAGAAGCTATTGCTTACATATTATATATGTGAATGTGTAGGTAAGAATCATGCCCCATGACAATGGAATCTCTCGTGGTTGGCGTGTGCGAGTGTGTTCTCTTCCTCTGCGGCCCCGGCCCCGCCGTGGCGAGTGTGCCCTGTTGGTTGGCCTTCTTGGCGGTCCTGCCAGGGTTTCTGGGTCTTGCAGTCATGATAGGAAAGGTTCGGTGACTCAACGCTAGAACCTCTTCCCAGGCTGGTTAGCAGGAGGGCGGATTTTGCTCTTCTCTTCAGGCCACAGCCCTGGAGTCCCTGAGAACTTGGTGTTCCGGCCTGTGTCAAGTGTAGGAAGCGTCTCGTGGTCCCTAAGCTCTTCTTGACGCCTCCCAGCTGTGGACCAGCAGCATCGCCTGGGCGCGCTGCAGCCTCGCACTTGGACAGGACCCCTGGAGACTTAGGAGCACCCAGGTGTGGGAGGGACCCCTGCTGCAGGGGGCACGCGGGCAGCCATCCGAGCGGAGCAGAATGGAGCGGCGGCCTCCTACCAGACCCTGCCCGCCCGCGAGCTGGGCCGCGGACGCCCTCATGTGGGTGCGGCAGCGCCGCGCGGGACAGAGGCCCGCACTGGCCGCCGCCTTGATGTCTGAGGGTTATGAATGGAATGAAATGTAAATACCCACATTCAGACCACTTTCTTCTGAAGAGAACATGGCTGCAGTTATTAACTGTTAATATTTAACTAGGAGGAAATTGCTTTATTTTCTCTGAGCCCTGCTCTCAAACAAAACCACGATGCCTCTAATTGCTGAAGTTGTCGTTCTTTGGCATCTCATCCAGAAAAGCCAGTGTCATGGAACAAAATTTTGGCTCAAAACAGCTGGAAAAGGAGGATGGCAAGTCAGAGCCCCCGAGGAAGGCGGCCGGCCAGCCAGCCAGCCAAGGGGACGCGTGCCGTGCCTGCCCGGCTCACTCCCCGGCTCGCACACGGACCTGCTCAGAAAGGAGAGGAGTGCCGGAAACAGATGGGGGAGGGAAGCTCTGACGTGGTTTTGAACACCCTGGAGACGGATGAGGTTTCTGAACCTGAGAACAAGGGATGCCAGGGCACGGGGGAGGGACGTCCGCCAGGGCCTCTAGAGAGTCCTAGTAGGAACCCCACTACTTTCCTGCCCCAGAGTGCTGAGAACCCGCAGGCTCCAGACCTCCCACAATGGAAAGCTGTTTCCTTCGGAAGCCAGAGCCATACTCTTCAACGGCAGAGCCCACTGGCTTTGGGGGACCTGCTTTCCCACTAGCTGCTGTCCAGCTCTGCCAGCCGCTCTGGGCATGTGAGGCAGGGCAAGAGGTGTTCAAGTCTGCATTCCCTGTCACCTCCCAGAAGCCTCCCTATGCCCAGGTCCACCTGCTTGTTGCTGCTGAGCGCCAGGTGTGGAGGCTCCAGAAACAGGAGTTTGAGAAGGAGCACGCTTTATTGGGGACAGAGCACTGCACGTGACCAACAGATGACTGCAGCCTCGGGGGCATCCTACACATCACCCTCAAAAAGGTACACAGGAGGTTTTGCTAATAAGAAAGATCAACTGGAACATGGGTTCCTCTGGGCAACTTCCCCAACCTCCCATCCCTTCAAGGGGTCAGGACAATCCTGATCATTTCCTTGAACGCAGCTGTGGTCCGCTAGAGATACAGTCCTTCAGGGGTGCCTTCTTGTTTTTTATAAAGAACATTTTCTTTAGATTTCTTGAAGTCTTCATTTGTTACTTTCATTCTACGTTCTCTCAAGGCCATCAGACCAGCTTCTGTACAGATCGCCTGTAAGAAAGAACAGTATGTTCAGAAAGGGAAATACTTTTTATTAGTACTCTATCAATTCGAGAGCTACTTTGAAATAAGGTGTAAGACAGACTAAAAAGACTGCTTAAACTTTCTAATTACTTTCTCAGAGGACCTGAGGTGGCTTTGAGAAGGAGGACTGGCTCGCGTCGTAACCAGCGGGGTGGCCTGGCGGGGGAGTTTTCAATGCTCCACTCCTTAGAGAGAGCCACATTCCTTCCTGGGCACCAGATGCAATTATACCAGGACACTGAGAGGCAAGAGGGCATCCCTCCAGTTCACTTACGCACAGTCAGAAGAGAACACGTATTCTGGCTAATTGTAAGTCTCAGGACAGTATTTACTGTGATAAACTTATTTTCTCAGTCATCACTTGCCAAAAGTAAAACAAAAACCCACTCAACATGATGTGACAGAAACACAATCCTGGCACTGAAGTTTCTATCTGGTTATGGCCCTCAGGATATTTCAAATGGTTCAGCAAAAAAGAAAGTGTATTTGTGAACAAAAGATAAAGCAAAGCAGTAAAATGGTAACATTTGATAAATCAAGGTGATGGGTATATTGGTGTTTACTATTGTTGCAACTTTTCTGAAGACTTCAAATTTTTCAAAATGGAGTTGGTGCAAAATTTTAAAATGAAATTTCAATTTTATTTATTTAAGATTTTATTTATTTGACAGAGAGAGACAGAGAGAGAGGGAACATAAGCAGGGGGAGTGGGAGAGGGAGAAGCAGGCTTCCCGCGGAGCAGGGAGCCTGCCGCAGGGCTCGATCCCAGGACCCCGGGATCATGACCCGAGCCGAAGGCAGACGCTTAACGACTGAGCCACCCAGGAGCCCAAAATAATTTCAATTTTAAAAAGAGCTTTTACAGGGCGCCTAGGTGGCTCAGTCAGTTGGGCGTCTGCCTTCGGCTTGGGTCATGGTCTTGGGGTCCTGGGATTGAGCCCCACATCGGGCTCCCTGCTTAGTGGGGAGTCTGCTTCTCCCTCTCCCTCTGCTCCCCCTGCTTGTGCGTACGCGCTTTCTGACAAATGAATGGAATCTTAAAAAAAAAAAGCTTTTACTCACCAACACAGACACTAACCTAGTTCTACAGAGGCCAAGGATACGCAGCTCAGTGCAGGCACCAGCGTGAAAAGGCCCCACGTGTGCTGTCCTGACCAGACCGTGGCGCTTACACGTGACAAAAACCCAGGTCGTCACCTACAGAGCAGGCTGGACCCGGGTTCAGTGCTGTGGGGCCTTGCACTTGCACACGCGCGCTCTCACACACATACGAAACTGAGAAGTACGACCCGACCCAGGTTCTCACCTTGATGTCGGCACCCGAGAGGTCATCTTTAGCCATGATCAAGTCGTCCAGGGTCACGTCATCGGCCAGCGTCATCCTGCTTGTGTGGATCTGAAAGATGCGCTTCTTAGTCTTTTCGTCGGGCAGGGGGAACTCGATCTTCCTGTCAATGCGGCCTGCGGGTAGAAACAGTTTCCAGTCACAGCCCCGTGCAGCCCCCAGGCTGGGCTCCGGGAGGGCCTGAGCCCATGTCCTCACTCATGCTGTTTCAGTCAGACAGCACAACTGTGGGAAGGGCAGCGGGGTCCAGATCCTGAAAAGTGAACATCCTTCCTGTAGTTTGTAAATGTCTACATTTGAATTCATCCCATTTAAAAGAAATCCTCTCTGCTCTGGTACCCTTAGAAATAAAGGAATGGCTCCTGAATGGCCTAGATAGTGGAAAAAGATCGTGTTAAAAACATTACAAAAGCATAAACAAATGAGCTACTGCTGCTTCCTGGTGTGACCTGAACGTAAAAAAACGAACCTGAGTTGTTATTTCCTTCAGAAAAAAGAATACTCATTATGGGAAAGAGAAAAGATCACAATTTAAGATTGGAATTAAAAGGGCCACGCTACACCCACTGCATCATGTCCTCACTTACCCACGACCTCGGGGGATGCTGTTTTTAGTAAGTTACACTGCACTTCAATCACGTATTTGCCTTGATACGTCGCATTCTTCAATCCCCTGCCCGTGTACTTAAACCCAGTCACACAGAAACACGGCAGCTGTCCCTGATGGCACAAGCAATCTGACCTGGTCTGATAAGGGCCGGATCCAAAGTCTCTATTCGGTTTGTGGCCATAATAACTTTCACGTCACCCCTTGAATCAAATCCATCCAACTGGTTCAGCAGTTCCAGCATCGTTCGCTGAATTTCTCTCTCACCACCAGAATTTGAGTCATATCTTTGAAAAAGAAGAGAAGGAATGAAAACCTAACTGATCTGCTGAAGGGGAAATGACAGAAACGCCTCTGACTCAAATTCTGACGCCCCCAATTCTAGCAACAAAATCATGCCCTCCCAATTGCCAGATCATGTTGTTTAAATTGTAGAAGTTTTCATGCCTGAGATTATATCATTAGTTCAGTCTCCATGTTTGCTATCTGAGCCCCCAACCCTACCAGGAGCTCCTTAAGGGCAGAGGCTCGTGTACAGTGGCCGTGTCCCCGAAGTCTAGATGAGGCCTGGCTCTGCAAGGATGCTCGGGACACAGTTACAGACGAAACTCCAGGCAGTCACAACTCCTGGGTGGTGGTTACCTGGCACCTGGGAGAGCAGAGCCTAAAGCACCCAGAGCACCATGTATGGTAGGAACTGCAGCAAACCCACATGCAGGCCATACAGGGAGTACTCCATGATCATTCTCAGAGAGGAGCTCCGGGGTTTTTATCTCTGCTCAACACAAAGTAAGAGAGAAGTGTACCTTTTTGTTCCAATGGCATCAATTTCATCAATAAACACGATAGATGGTGCGTGTTCTTCTGCAACTCGAAACAATTCCCGAACGAGTTTGGGCCCATCACCTAGGTACTTCTGAATAAGTTCAGAGCCAACCACTCTCAAGAAAGTGGCTGAGGTTTGGTTTGCTACTGCTTTGGCTAATAAGGTTTTACCTATTTTATATTTAAAAAGAAAAAGAGAAAGGAAAAAAAAAACAAACCCTTAAGTGCTATTTTAACTTAAAAACTGTTACTTAAATGGGCATCAGAAATGGGCAGATCCCTGTGACTGAAAAGGCATACCCCCATTCAGGGGTCTTAACATTCTCCGAGGCAGGTAAGAGAAAATTGAGGAAAAACCTAAACGTTTTGATTATTTTTAATTATCTTCCTAATTCTTCATTACAGTGTCAGAAAGTACATTTTACTGGGTTATTCAGAGTTGCATAGATTATTAACCTGACCCAT